TGACTCCCAAGGCATTCATGCCTAATTTAGGCGTGACTTGTCTGGTGTTGACACGTGGCACAAAAAAAATCAACTTATGAAACATTAAACTTTGGAAAGCCATAACTTTTGACTCGGGTATCTGAATCAGGTACATTTTTTTTGATTCCACATAAATTTTCGAGATCTATGCAATGACATCTCATTTGATATATTTTATCTCTCACAAACACAATTCAAATTTGAAATAATGGTAATATAAGAGTGTTTAAACTCAGAAGCCTTCGAGTTCTGGATTTGTGATTTAATATAAAATAATGAATAAAGATTTGATTTGTGATTTAAATTAAAAAAAATCAAATTTTTTAACTTTTAATATAAAAAATAAACAAAGATTTGTTTTGTGATTTAAATTAAAAAAAATAAAAAATTATTATTAATAAGGAAAACAAAATAAAGATTTGATTTGTAATTTAAACTCAAAAATCAATTTGAAAAATCTGTATTAATAAAGAAAATAATTAAATAAATATTCTAAATCTCTTAAGAAGAAGTATTTTACTATTAAAAATCATTCATAGGCTATAAGCTTCCAATGAAACCATTATTTCAAATTTGAACCATTTTGTGAGAGATAAAATATATCAAATGAGATGTCATTATGTAGATCTTGAAAAGTTATGTGGAATCAAAAAAAGAATTTCCTGATTCGGATACCCGAGTCAAAAGTTATGGCCTTATGAAATTTTACGATTAAACTGTTAATTTTTTGTGCCACATGTCAACATCAGACGAGTCACATCAAATTTAGGCGTGAATGCCTTGGGAGTCACGCCTAAGGCTGTGCATGGGTCAGGTCGGGTCAGGTATTTGTCCGACTCAACCCAACTTGATTTTTATAGGTCAGTTATTTTGACCCGACCCGCTTTAATTTGATCCAAGTCAGGTTTGACTTGGTTTGGATTTTGTTGAACTAGTTCAGAACCGGGTCGGATCTGACCTGACTTGGTTTTTGAAGTGGGTCAAATCTGACCTGACCCGTTTTTGACATGGTTTCCTCACAAAATTTCATCGAAATTTGTAAGTTGCAAACGACGAAAATTTCGTCACAAAATTATTTTTTCGTCGGAATACTTTTTGTCGAAAAGCGACGAAATTTTTTCTCTAATGAAAATTTTTACAAAACTAAATTTTCTATCGAAATTTAGTTTCCGTCAAAAGTTTTGACGAAAATGATTTCTTCCATCAAATATTTTAAACGAAAAAAGAATTCAGTCAAAATTTTTGACGGAATGTTTTTCGTTCAAAATTTCGATGGGAATGTGTTCTCACAAAAATTTTGACGGAAATTGTTTCGAGGGAAATGTTTCATCCAAAACTTTCGACGAAATTTAGATTCTCTAAAGAATTTTGACATAATATTTTTTTCGTCAAAATTTTGTATCGAAATATTTTACTAATTTTTTTATACAGAAATTATTTTCGTTGAAAATTTTGATGGAAATATTTTTTATCAAAAAACTTGACGAAAATATTTAGTTAAAAATTTTCGACGGAAATGTGTTTCGCTAAAAATTTTGACGAATTTTTTTTTTGTCAAAAAGTTTAACGAAAATTTTTTCGCTGAAATTTGAAATCTGTAAAGAATTTTGATGAAATTTTTTTCCATCAAATTCTTTTGATGGAAATGTTTTTCGTCGAAATTTTCGATGGAAATTGTTTTAAGAGAAATGTTTTATTCGAAACTTTCGAAGAAATTTAGATTCTCTAAAGAATTTTGACAGAATATTTTTTTCGTCAAAATTTTTTTTCGAAATATTTTTTTTCAAAAATTTTTACGAAATTTTTTACAGAAATATTTTCCGTTGAAAATTTTGATGGAAATATTTTTTATTAAAAAACTTGACGAAAATTTTCGATATAAATGTGTTTTGCTAAAAATTTCGACGAAAGTTTTTTTTGTCAAAAAGTTTAACGAAAATGTTTCCGTTGAAAACTTTCACCGAAATTTGAAATATGTACAGAATTTTGATGAAATTTTTTTTCGTCAAAAAATTTCGATGAAAATGTGTTTCGTCAAATTTTTTGATGAATATATTTTTTTGTGAAATATTTTGAAGAAATATAGTTTCCGTAAAAAAATTTGACAAAAAAAATATTCCGTCAAATTTTTTTTACTGAAATATTTTTAATCACAAATTTTGATGAAAATATTTTTCGTTAAAAAATTTTGCAAAATGTTTTTATGAAATATTTTTCGTAAAATTTTTTGACGTAATTGTTTTACGTTAAAAATTTTCTTTTAATGTAATTGTAATTTTTTTTCTTTTTTTTCACACAATGCGTATGTGTCAAGTTTTGGGTTAATATTAAAACAAGTCAGGTCTAAAACTGACTCAAATAAAAGTGGGTCAGTATTTAAACCAGTTCAAAAAATATAGGTATTTATGGGTCAGGTCAAGGTCGGATCAAGGGTAGGGCAAGTGAATCAATTTTTTTGCACACCCCTAGTCACACCTAATATAGGCATGAATGGTCACGCCCAAATGAGTGCAATATATTCGTAATTAGGTTCAAAACAACAATTTATTCGTAATTATTTATTAAAAAAGCAATATTTTAACCTTTTTTGCCCAAATTTGAATTTGAATTATTTAAGTTTATAATGTAAAAATATCTTAATAAATATTTTATTTTCATTGATCTGCCTTTGACCGAACTGAAAATATTAATTAATTAAGTTATACGCTTAAACACTATTAACTACAATTGAGAAGGAAATTAAAATATAACCTGGTGCTTGTTCTTAATGGGTCATATATCTTTTTCAAAGATTGTATGGGAAGAAAACACGGGATAGGATATTGTGACACTCAAGTTATGTTACACCCATGTGACACCCAGTCAATCTCACTGTTAGATCACTTATGTTGATCCAACGGTTATATTTATTTCCATCTTTGTATGGTCATGATTTTCCAAATTTAAAGTGAAAACATTAAATATGGGAAATCATAACCATACAAAGGTAGAAATAAATATAAAATATTAAATTTGGGAAATCATGACCATACAAATATGAAAATAAATATAACCGTTGGATCAACATAAGCGATCTAACGGTGAGATTGACTGAGTGTCACATGGGTGTAACATAACTTGGGTGTCACAATATCCTATCCCAGAAAACACACCCTATAAATTCCCATTATCTTTTTTCAAAAAGCAAATATAATGTGGTGCTTATTCGTAACAGTTATATATCATGTAACGAATTTTAAGCAGCATGATACACATATTTTTTGATATGGACTCTTTCCCAACCTGACCAGCAGAATATTTGCCGAACATGATATCTTTATTGAGAATCTGTCGTTAGTCATAGGTTTTCTGGTATTTGCGGTCACAATTAAATGTTGGTTGTGTTTTCAAATCCACAAGAAAGCGTAGAAAATAAAGAATGGAAGGGGCTGAAATTAAAAGAGAAAGTTTTAGCATGATTGCTATTTCTGGTTTCCTATGTTATCCCAAAATTAACCTAAATTGATATAATTTTGGCTAAAATCTTCACATAATCTTCTGTTACGATTAGTTATTGATAGGTGTACTGTATTTGAAATTTTCGGACGCAACGCAGAGCCTAAATAAAAGCTTTACTTTTTGAGCTAAAAATCATAACATTTTGTGAAATTTAATTTTTTTTAATATGTATTAATATAATTAAAAATTTATTTATCAAATTCATGTATAAATTGTAATATTATTATATTCATTTTTTTTAAATCACGTATAAATTGATACATTTAAATATCAATATTTTATTTTTCATATAAATTACCGTTTATTACTATTATTTTGAATTCAATAAATGAATACGACAAATTCACCAGTGAATGATGGTGGATATGATGTAGATACAATTCAATCGGAGCATAGAAAATGAAACTACAACTGTATTTTAAGATGTGATATGTTATTCTACATATATTTTTTGTGTGCCTATTTTTGGTTATTACTTTCTAATATTATTATATTAGAATTTTAATTATTTTATTAAAATTTTAATTTAATGATATTGGAGAATGATAAACAAAATATGCTGAAAGAAAAAAATAACATATCCCTTTAAGATGACATTTATAATCAAATAGATTGGGGTAAAAATTCTAAATAATAGCAAGCAGAAGGAGTAAGCATTAATTTTGTTCAAATTCCCCTATTTGGCAATTGGCGTTGCCATTCTGATTGCTAGAAACGTCGTGGGCCACGAAGTGTGGCTTATCACTATGCCGAAACGGGTCACCCATCCCCACTTCATTGCCTACTTTTCCATCTTTTCAACTCTTAGCTTTACTTTTTCTTCTTTCTTTCTTTTTTCATTTTTATTTTTATTTTTATTTTCTTTTGAGTGAACTTAGGTTTTCCTTCCCAGAAAGTAAGGAGAAAAGAATATCCGCATATGTGGAAATAGTCCAAATTGACCGTAACTAACGTGAATGAATTAAAATTTTATATTATTTCTTCACATGAAAAGTCTGTTTTTTTTTATAAATATTAAATAAATAATATTTTCTACTTTCATGCATAAAATAATAAAAATGATATTTCTCTCTTCCATTATTTTTATTGAGTATTTCTTAATGACATAATTTTATATAATTTAAAAAAATAAATACTAAATTCTTTTTATAAATATTAAATAAATAATATTTTATCGAAATTTATGCACGACAAAATAATTTTTTTTTCTTTCTCCACTCAAAAAAAGTCCGAGTCGGTTTTCATTTTAATTTTTCTTTCTTTCTTTTTTAATAATTATTATCAGTTATTATTAAGAAAAGCAAGTATTACCCAGTGGGTGCAACTCAGTTGGTAACTTGGCGCTGAGGTAGTGAGGTTGGATATGTGTTTAATTCCCGCTGAATGCATTCTTGGGAAGGAGGCTGAACCTTTAGCCATCACTGTTCCCCCGCACTCCGGATTAGTCCCATAGCTAGCTCAAAGAGTCGAAGCTCGTGGGAATACCGGAGAAACCAACTCGTCTCAAAGAAATAATTAGTGTCAGGTAACTCCAAAAAAAAGAAAAAGAAAAAAAAAGCAAGTATTAGCGCGTGGGCCTGGACTCCGAGTTCGGCCTATAAATGCACCCCAAAATCACTGCCCAGAGTTTTCAAGCCCTAACCCTACAACGCCGGAGGAACATTGAGTTCCAATTTCCTCTCTCAGTCTTCCTTCTCTAGAATCTTCCAACCTTGTGGTCTTTCCATACAACTCGCCCAACTCACTGAGTAGAACGAGTCATGGAATCCAAACCCGGCCACAACACTATCAAACTCCTCTGTAGCTACGGCGGCAAGATCCTCCCTCGCGCCACTGACGGTGAACTCCGTTACGTCGGCGGCCACACCAGAGTACTCACCGTCGATCGTTCCGTTTCCTTTTCAGGTTCGCTCCTTCGCTTTGTTCTCACTCTCGAATTTCTGACTCTACGTCTCTCTCGTTTTTTTCGTTGACTGATTCGTCATGTTTTGCAGAATTGATGGTGAAACTTGGTGAATTGAGCGGTTCGTCTGTGACCTTGAGGTGTCAGTTACCCAAGGGAGACTTGGAGACCTTGATCTCCGTCACCAGCGACGCAGATTTGGCCAACATAATCGAAGAATACGATCGTGCCTCGTCGAAATTAGCTCATCCGTTGAAGATTAGAGCCATTCTTTCGCCGCCGAAATCGCTCAAGAAGGTGTCTCCTACTCCATCGTCGGCTTCGTCCTGCGCCAGTCACTCTCCGTCCAGATCTCCCCACACCTCCGCTGAATCGCTGCCGTACGCGGTGGCGTATCGCGTCGGTCGCCACCGTCGCTCACCGCCGGCGACGGTTGTGTATCCGATCGATGTCCGTAATGGCTCAGCGAAAGCTTGTTGCTACACGGGCCAGTTCAAGGGAAACTCTAGGTTCCTGTATTGTGAACCTCACTGCAACAATTACTGCCATTGAAGCGAACCCGTATATATATACCCTAAATACAAGGGGGAAAAATTTGCAAATACGAAGCTGACTCAAAATATGATGATGAAAAATACAAAAGGACCCAAAGAACATTAAAAAAATTGGAGAGATGAGCGGACTTTGAAATACGATGGTTTTACTATTTTTTTGATTTTGATAAATTTTGGGTTGTGGACTTGTGGTTGAGGTTCTTAATTTTTAATTGAGCCTGAATTTCTTGTTGGACATGGTTTCTGCCTGGGACTCTCTCTTTTTAACCGTTAGGGTTCCGTTAAACGCCATCTGATACGGACAATTCTTTGTGACGTGTCATTTGCGTGCTGCTTTTGGTGGTTTTGATTCCGTTCACGTAAGTCATGCGTCGTTTCTTGAGTTAATTGTTACACCTGGCAGTCGTTCGACATTCTTGTGACTCGATTATATGATTACTAAGCGGGTAAGTATGCTTCCGTTAAAATAGTTGGTCAAATTAATGGAATTTATTCTTGTTGATTTGTATAATTATTATACTAATCTTTTTTGTGACCTGGTGGTTGTAATATTCTTCCCAATTTGCAGGTCAATAAAAGGGAGATGGAGACATTGTACCTTGAGGCGTGGGATTTGGGGAAGAGGACAAAACTTTTGAACCTTCTTGACACTTCGGAGGGCAATGCTAAGTGGATTAAGGAACTTGAATTTATTATGAAAGAATTAAAGATACGTGACATAAATGTGGATACCAGCTAAGAAGGAGAACGAGAACGAGAACGAGATTACGGTAAACTTAAAAATTGAATTAAAAAATAGGTTTAGTTTCAAACACTTCTCCTATTTTCAAACACTTCTCCTAAAAAACGGAAGTTTAATGGGAGTGGACTTCTCCTAAAAAACGGAAGTTTAATGGGAGTGGATTTTCTCATGTGCTAATTAACATACTTATGTGATGTGGGGCAATTATAACCATATATGAGTAAGTTAATGGTGATAAAGGAGGAGAGAAAAAAATATAAGGATAAAAAATTATACAATTATTACTGTTGATTTAATTATTAATGGTTTAGGTTCTTTCATATGACATAATTATGTTAAATTACACACGAGAGTATCCATTTTTGTATGTAACTAATGACCAAAACGGATAGCCGCTGGTGGAGCACGTGGGGTAGTTAGTTAATTGACAATGTCACATTATTTAAGGCATATTTTTTGGCAGCTTTATGGTGGGTTCAACAGTTTCCTATTTTATGCATATTGGGATGAAGTTTGAAAGAAAAAATATGCATATTGGGATGAAGTTTGAAAGAAAAAATCAGCCCGACAATTGGAACGCCGGAGGAGATGAGATCCAAATTCAACTAAAGTGCACATGGATAACAATTTAAATATACAAAGCAAAGTCCCGATAATCAAAGGAGGGTGGCTATAGAATCTACATGGCAAGTGGAATTTGGGCACATAAAAATTTGGTTGAGGACTAATTCAAAACTTAATTATAATACATATATTTTGGTAAGCACAAGGGACTAGAAACCCCCAAGAAGAAAAGATTACACAGAAATATCAGAAGTAGACGAAACTAAATTACTACAATCAGTCTCAAATAGTTGCACCAGTTCCTTAGGACGGTGCATGAATACTTGGAGATCAGGAGCTCCTCTGGGTGCAGTCTTTGTGAGCCAATCTGCGCAAGCATTGTTTTCTCTGTTGATACAGTTAAACTTGACCTC